TACAATTAAATCAATTGAAAAATGAACCTATATTTATACTTTGTATCTTGCGTTTGTTAAAAGTGGGAGGAGACTTGCTTGTAGTTTAATGTATTTTCATAATTCTCGAACCCATGTTGTAGAGCGATATACCGCTTGTATATAAAAGAGAATTAAATAATAAAACATTTTTAGTTCAAGTAAATATTTGGAACTCGTACACCACCCATTGATTTGTAAACATTCTACGTATGTCTTTATTTCGTAGAATCGGATAGCACTACGATAATAGAACCGATGTATATGCAAAAATTAACCAAAGATATCCAAAAATTTCTAAAAATTAACTAAAAATATCCAAAAAATTGTAAAAATCGAATGGCAGGTCTCTAAAAACTAGTCAGAATGTGTTTGAGGGAAATTAAATATTTTTTTTTGTTACAAGTAAAGAAAAGATTTAAAAAATTCTCACAAAGAAATTGTCATTTTCTTTATATTTCTGCATGAAATTTTTCACTCAAACCACTTCTAAGATTATTTGTAAAAACAGTCTCGAGCAATTTAAGCAATAAGAAGAAGAAACAATAAGAATGTGCGGAAAATAGAGAGAGCACAGAGTTATTTGTAATAAATAAGAAAAATAGTCAATGAAAATAAACTACTTTTTTCCTTTTTGTAAAGATGTTTATTATTAAACAACATTTATACGCGACCTGAAAATGTCTTGTCCTTTCGAAAATATATTTGTTTACTAATGTCTTGTTTGCCTTGGAGCGATAACCACTAGAGATGAACTCGTTGACGCGGAATGCGCAGTCACAGTAGCGTAAGGGCTTTCATAGGTTCGACTTACTTTATGGTTATATTGTGTTCCATTTTGAAAGCAGGTTGTATTCGAAATGAAGAGCCCTTGTAAAAGAAACTTAACCTTTTAACGACACTAAGGAAAATATTCTGTCACCATTCTATTATTATGATTATTATTATTATTATTATTATAAATTTAGCCAGAGAATAAATTCTAAGACTAATGTCTGCTACCACTAGCAGTAGCATCTAGCGCTTTCGGCTTTAATAAAAACTCTAGCGCACTTGAAATTTGAACCCACGACCATTTTAAAATTTGATCATTGTCGTCTTTTAGTACAAGCTGATGTGCATTTTTTGTACAAAATGTCAGAAGAGAGCTTACGTCGAAACCGCTTAGCCTTTTACCTGCTACACTTCCAGTGGTGCATTGTCTTTTCCTCAACCGCCAGATGCATGATGCTGCCTTGCCTCTTGGCACTGCCATTTAAGTCTTAATAAATACGCATTGTATTTCTACATTTAAACAATTCAATTTTTCTTCTATAAATTTCCCTTTATATAATTAATTGCACTCGGTCGACGATTTACTCCTGCATTCTCTTTCAAAAATGCCGGTGAGGTTATAATTACACGACAATCGATTTCATAAGCATCGTTAGAGGGTTAAGAAATGAGTTGGCCATAACTTTCTGAAAAGCAAAGGAAGCTAACTCCCTGGCTTTGTTTTTATTGATTTTAATTTTTGACAAAATGTTGCATTTCGATTTTTGTGCATACATAAAATTTGAGATTTTTACACATCAAAACTAATTCTCTTGAAAGCTTTTTGTGCCATCATTGCCTTTAACTGCTTTCTTATATAAATTGTCTTGACTTGTCTCTCCAACTTCCGTAGAGCATGAATTGCCACCGAGCTTACCAATATCCGTTATAGCAGCAACTTTTCGTAGTGAAAATCTTTTATGAAGATGATGGTAAGTACGAGCTAATTAATTTAATGTGTAATAATGTAATGTAATGTTATTTTTGAAGACTCATCATACTCTGAAATGGAAAATGCTAGAGGAAAGAGCGATTCCGACGACGCGTGGAAGGAGGATAATGTTGAAGAAAACCAAGCAACAATGGATCAAAACAACGTTGAGAATATGGAAATGTGAACTAAGTGCTGAGTTTCCGCCATCACTTAGTTCAAGTAAACATTTCATAGCAATTTTTATTTATTATTATTATTATTATTTTGATTTTAGACTAATGAATTGAATTCTTAGACTAAAAAAGACATTGAGCACTAGCAACACAGGCTATCGGCTCTAATTTAAATAAATGAATATTAGATGATAAGCTTAGTAGTATTAATAAAGTAAAATATTGAATTGATATTCTGTTCTGAAGCTGATTGTAGAATGTTCAAAGGGTAATCGTTCCAAATGCAATACTTCTAGCCAAGGAAAATTTGAGGCAGTCGCAGAGAATGTGCTTTATAGTAAGAGTTTGTCCACAACAGCAGATTGGGGGAGAAGACTTCTTCAGGATCCATTGGTGAGTTGCAATTGTATGAAAGGCGAATTCTCGAAAATGTTTGGATCTTGGTTTTCTCAACATTTGTTGGATATGGAGGTAGAGTTAATTGAGGGTTAATGCAAGAGCAGTGTTGATGACGGTATTGTAAATTTCCTTCTGCAATTTTCTCTTTAACTTTTCTTCCAATGTATCTTTGAAGATCCAACTTTTCCATGACATCATCCATAATTAGAGGAGCAGAAGCAGCATACTTTGCCGCTCGATCAGCCTGCTCAGTAAACCGATGTGACTTGGTACCCATAACATTTTAATTTTTCCGTCGGGTGTAGTAATTATATTCCTTAATTTGTTGATAGTGCTCCATCTCGAAGTCGAAGGGTTCCGGGTAGCTTGTAATACAGACAAACTGTCAGTAACAATGACGGTTTTAAGTTTGTTTTTATGGGCAAGGTTGGCAGCGTGAAGGATAGCTCTGGCTTCGGTTATGAAAGTTGAAGTGCTTTCGTGAAATATGTGGTTGAGAAGAACCCGTCCTGTAGCATCTACCACCGCACAAGCAGGAGGCAGACCAGGAGATTTTGAGCCGTCTGTGTACAAAAGATTCCAACCAGTATTGTCCAATACTTGGGTTTTCTCAGCTATTAGATTCCTGAAGACGTAATTTGGAGTATCTTCTTTCTTTTATTTAAAAGTCTACGTTTAGAATGTATTTAATTTTTTCAAATTGAAATTTGCGTCCATTTGTATAAAAAAGCATACTTGAGTGGGCTACAATTGAAATGACTAATTGGATTTAATATGATACGTGTTAGTATTATATATGCTTTTTAGTTACAGAAGTCCTTGTTATCAAAGAATACAACTTTGAATGTATGTGTGCTCTTCGCTTGATATGATAGCCATATATGGGCAAATTCTCGTTTCATGTTTACACATATGTGGTAGATATAAATAGCACTGATTTAAAAATGTTTTGAAGGCAAATAATTATTATTATTATATATAAAATCGGCGCCAGCCACATATACAACATGGAAAATTTATATACCTAAGATTAATTGTATTCTAGTACTCTTTGCACTTGATCTTAGGTAGAACGTACATTTTCCATTAAAAAGGAACAATACTATATTGTTTAATAACAACTTTTCTTTATTGTATTTGCATTAAATATTCCCTCCTTGTGTACATATATGTAAAAATTTTAAACAATTTTAAAATGTAAACTAATTTAAACTGGATAATACGTGCTTTATAGTTGTAAGGTCATAATTTCCATTAATATAACAAGCTGAAGATAAAGGTTGAACGATTACATTATAAAAAAAAAAGGTTGAGAAAAAAATGAAAATTACACACGTGCGGATATTGCATTAACTCTAATATTTACCATTGAGCGAGGTTTCAAACTCACGGTTCTTGAAAGTAAAGTATATCTCCAATGTCGATACATAAAAACTTTTTTTTGCTGACAGAAAACATACAAATTTGCTAAAAATAACTTTCAACAAATTATAAAGCACTTACCGGAGGGATGATGTTACTTTCATTAAGGCCAAATGCTTGCAAAACACGGAAGGAAGTTGCAGGGATGCTGTAAAGTATATATGTGCTAGAGAAATTGTTAATCGACACTAAGTATTCCCATCTATTTTTGTGATAAACATTTTTCCGCTTACACAAATTAATATAATGAATGTAAATTTCTTGAAACATTCCAACCACCAGCTATTTTGGCAGGATTACTTTAAACGAAGAATCTTTGTGCCCAGGAGTTATTTGGTGTATATTTGAAGAACAAAAATCATTTCGCTATATTTTGAAACAAAAGTTTCAAATTCTTGGTAGACACATTGAAACACTTCGAATAGATGTTGTTTCATACCCATACAACGGTAATCTCGAAGAATTTTGTATTTGTGTTTGGAAATCGTTTTAAAAGCATGCGTTAACTTATTAGAGAAATTAGCATTAGCTTGTGCCTCCTGGTGTATAGAGTTGATAAAGAAGTCTTTTCGGAGCGCTTGAGGAGAAGCCCGAAATTTCAAGGAAAATATTTCTAGCAAGTAATAAATTCGGTGGGTCAAAATACACTTAAAAATGTAGTGACATTATATCCCTTAAATTAATATCGAAAATTTTATTTATACTTCACAGAGGTGTCATGTATTTTCTGAAATTTTGTGCACCTAGGATTTTGTCAAACTAGAACATTTGATAATATATCTTTTCATACATATAAGCGAAAATACATGCAGATATTTACGCGCTTTTGTTTTACAAAGAAAAATTTCTCATGAAACCATTTACCATTTTGTCACAAATGTATGGTAAATACAATTTTTTAAGATTCGTGGTTGTTTTTCCAAAAAAAAAAAAAAAGTACTTTGAGGTCGAGAGAAATTAAGACAATATAACTGCTATGATATGATTGCCTTGTAAGAGAAACCACGGTGTTTTCAAAATAAAACCTTCAGCACACTTTGTTTAAGCTGATGATTGACCTCAAATATATTAGTGTATGTCTGCATATGTTTATTAATTATTAGTCTACTTAATTAAGTAGTTTCGGCTTTCTACACTAGAAGCTACTTCAAATTGCAATGTAAGGTTTGTGAATCATTATTTCTAACGAAAACAAATATACACAAGAAACCACATGAAACTGACGGAAGATGACCACGTACTTTTTTTTGCCTTTGCTATCGTCATTGTTACATCCACAAAAAAGTAACCAGGTGTTTTTATTTATGCAAATTCTTGAAGTAATACACAAAATCGAATTATTCCAAAAAAAAAAAGCTGAAAAATAAACGGCATTTTGAATTGATAATCTACCATCACTAAGTAAAATGTCATTTCTACTGTTTTAAAATACACAATCGACGTTTTACAAATCAATTTTATTTCCATTTAACCGAGGTTCACATAGGCTAATCCACTCACAAAACAAGAAGTTCTTAGAAACCTAGAGGAAATAGGTTCTTGGTTTTCGGTACGAAAACAGCTTCCTGTTGCCTTTGTGATGAACGCGCTGCACCAACGGGAATTTGATCTTAGAGTCGTGGAACTGTTTAACATGGGTACGACGAGTTTTGCTGGCAGGTATCGGCTCAACTTTAATAATTTGTATGGAATGAGCCCGAGCTCGATGACGTGCACCCATGTCTCGATAGCATTGTGTAACAGCTCCACCAACAGTTAGATCACGGTATTCACGATACATATTATGAGTGCCAGAACGTGAATCATAACGCAACCAAATTCCAAAATTTTTAATCTTAATTGGTGAGGTTTCGTAGACTTCCTTGAGGGAAACAATCTCGCCAGTAGTTTTTTTAAACTTTTTCAATTGTCGTAAAAAATACCAAAAACGTGATTTAGCCACAATGTTGTCAGGAGCGAAAATTCTCATTTTATACAGAGGGGTTTGCGGCTCCTTTTCGGACGGTAATTTGCGTCCAATGACCTCATATTCTTTTAACTGCAAGATAAGATAAAGACATGAACATATACTACAAATCTGCAAAAACAAGGTAAATTGCAACCCAAATTTTGCTCTTATTATCAGCCTTCACTCTATAAACCAAAATTTTAGCACCACAATGCTTATATATTTTCTCGCGACACGTGTCAAGTTCTCTTAATGCGACCGTATATGCTACACTGTTGCTGATTTGCTTATATTACATTTTGGATTGGAATTTGCTTATTTTATGCCCACAAATTGCTTCAACATTTTCTTTTTTTTTTTTAAAGAAAATTACCTGCCCCTTAGCTTTCATTGTGGTAGCGTTTAGGAAAAGGAAAAGGAAAGTCACAAAACAGCTGGGCTTCGGTGTTAACACAAGTGCAACTCTGATAAGATGTAATGGAAATGTCTAGAAACTGTTTTTACAAAAACGGAGTTATTTTATATATTCCCTTAACAAACACCTCTCATATATATACAATCAGTGACATCAAAAGTTAGATGATAAAAATGACGTAAGATTCGATTCATACTTACAATACACCATGATAACAGCCAATTGTAAAAAAACATTAATTTAACTATGTTGATTGTCAACATATCCTGGGTAATCCCAAGGAACAAAAAAGTTGTCAACGATTTTCACAAAGAGGATATAACATTTGCCCAAAAATGTAGGCTGATAACGTAAAGTAACGGTGTACGCATTTTGGGCATTGAAATGATAGTTCAATACAACACAATGAGTTGTAGGCATATGTAAAACAAATGGTTCAACCTTTTACCAGACATCGTCACTATGTTAAATGTGAGACAAAAATAGGAAAAAATATGGTCTTGTGATTATTATCATATGTATTTTATATTACATTTTATCGAATCTTATTTTTTCGGGTTGTTGATTTTTACATTATGTGATTGGAAATTTTGATGTATACAGCAAACTTAAATAAAACTTAACTAAGAAGCGCTTGATTTAATATATATGTACAGTCGCCCAACAAAGTCACGTACGGTAACGAAAACGGGCTGGTACTAAAAACTGCAGATGTAGTTTGACAGTCCAAAAATTAAGAAAAAAAAGCTTATATTAAATAACAGTCAGAGCCGATAGCCTGTGTTGCTAGTGCTCAATGTCTTTTTTAGTCTAGGAATTCATTTCATTAGTCTAAAATTAAAATAATAATAATAAATAACAGTCAAGGGTTTTTTTTGATTTAAGATAAAGTTATAGGCAAAAATGTACTTTAATGCCATAAAAAATACCAAAAAGCCTACATACAGCAGCATTACATTATTCGGAAAAGAACATTTTTAGCTAGCGGTGCCTGATAAAAACATAATCCAGTTAGTATTCATCCCGATATCCGTCGAAATATTCTAAAACCCAACAATATTCCTAGACGCTTTAGTTTTGGTTTCATTTGTTCCAATGCTAAAATATTTGTCATATAGTAATGTTTTATAATAGCTTGAAGAGTACCACGATTAATTTCAATTGCTTTTCTCATTTCTCTGTACGGTTTGCCCTCACTTCTTAATTCATGTTGAGAGATATTGTGCATTTTGAGACATTTTCAGCAAAAGAAATAAAGAAAAAACTCGCTTTAAGTGATGAATTATTATTTAAAAGCGAAAACAAGTACAAAAATTCGATATCGCAACTGAAGGTGTCCTTCTTCAAATATTTTAGTGGTGCCGTATGTAGACTATGTTTATTATGGGATTGAGGTTTTTTGGGGTATAACTTTATCTTAAATCAAAAAATAAAATTTTAAAGTATTATTTAATATAAGTTTTTTTTCTTGAGAAATATATTTTTTGACCCTTAAACTATAAATGCTTCAACTTCCGAGAGTGTATGTTTAGTCCGGTACACCCAACCCCATTAGCAAATTTATTAAATGACATCGCACAATGGAGTTCTCTTTAATTTTGACAATAATGTTTCCTACCTGAGTTTGCGCGAAACGGCCAGCAATGTCGCTATTGCCACTCCTTTCCTTTTAACCGCTACGTCTATTAACACACTTTATTTTAATGTACTTTCAAACGTTATTAACAAGAAAAGTTCCACAGCTACACTTTACAGCTTTAAAAATTCAAAAAATGTAGTTTTTCAGTGTGTTGACGACTTCTTAATGGATTCCTCCGATCGACCGTTCAACGGGCAGTTGGAAAAATTTCAGGAAAAGAGAATCTTTTCTATAAGAAATTTTTCGATTTAAACCTCACTTTCAACGCAAACAATCTATTTTGCCAAGGGTTTGAACTGTCAAATTAATATGAATCACTGCAATGGCTTGGTAGGAATATTAACTCTTACTCTTCTTGACAACTAGGAGAAAGTAAGTAAAAATTCTAGCAAGATTGTCAATGTCCTTGAACTACTCACAAATGCTTACAAAGGCAAATAAATCTCTGCTTTTATATACAGCTTTAATCCGATCAAAAATAGAATCTGGCCGATCAACCATCTTTAAATCCCCAAAATATGTTGACGGATTGATTCAAACATTTCAAAACTGACAACTTCGTCGACGCTTAGGTCCCCAAGTAATCCCCTTCACCTGTTATCCTGCGAACCGCCAACAAAATATAAAACCTTCTAAGAGAGTTATAGCCAGAACCAACAATGATCGCGCAGTATATCAGCAGTATATCATCTTTCCAAGGATAATCTCCAAATCATAGGTTTCCGAAAAAGTGTTTAATTTCTGTGAGCTTAAATTCTTAAAAGGTGTTTTAACAGATCACCTATAAGATAAAGCTTACATCCATATGATTAAGACTGCATCTAGTAGTTGTTGTGACACATATGGCTTAAGAGAATCTCTTGAGCACTTGATCTTCAAATGACAAGAAGATGATGGTATGATAAATCCTTTCAGCTTTTTTTCACCCTTTCTGGATTTGAAAACCAAAGAGTTAACTTGCTATATTAAATAAATGAATATTAAAATTTTATGCACTATTCAATTTAAAAATTATGCGTCTACTGTCGTTCACATTTTTTTTAAATCTTTATTTCAACCATGAACGCAGAACAAATTTTTTTTTTTGGAATAATTTTTTTTGTTTTCATACATAGATTGTATGTTAAATGAATTGCTTTTTTTCTTAAAAGGAAACATTTTTTGTGTTTCGATTGAATCGCATTGATGACGGCGTATTAATTGCCACATCTGCGTCAATCCCGCCCAATTCAATTGAATTTCCCACATCTCCTGACGTTCAATTTATCACCATTCGAGAGAAAATCCCTAATAAACAGCTATATATAACCAGCTCCTATATTCCCATAAATTCCGATATCTTCATATATATGAAACAGGCTGCCCTCATTTCTGAAGTGGCCAAGCAGCCTAAACCCACTGATTTGATCTTTTTCAAACAAATATTATGATTTTCATAAAATCAATATTGTATTGCTAAAATATCATCTTTCACCTATAAGGCTTGATTTCTCGACCGGAAGTATTGAAAGCGTATTGTCATCGTTCTACAACACATTAAATCTAGCTATTGCTGCATCTGTTCCAATCAAGCAGTGTCGACTTTGAAGCAGGTGTTTCCCCTGGTTTAATAAGACAAGAAAATGAAAAACACGTTATTCAAAAAATATTCGAAAAGTGGCTCTGCTCTTGACTATTTCGCTTACTCAGTCGTGAAGCATGGATTTAACTCCCTCAACCACCAATATTATTACAGATACCTTCAGTTCATTAAATCCTCTCTCTTTGCTAATCCTAAATAACTTTTTAAATTTGTTAACTCAAAAAGAAAAATTTCCACACATCCCTTGCATATTTCTTTCAATTGCTCTGATTTCTCGGATGATTTTGAAATCTCAAATTTGCTTGCTAGTACTTCCGACGAAACTTTTCGATAACTAATTTCGATTTATCAGTAAATTATCCGTACCCTATGACTAACTCGGTTTCAATTCCTAACTTGGTTATTTCGAAAGATGACGTTTTTAAAGGGCTGAGCTCTCTAAAATATAGATGTGTGCCTGGACCTGATGAAATTCCATCATGTGTACTTAAATCTTGCGCTGTCGAGTTATGCGGCGTTATCTCGAAGATTTTTAACCAGTCCTTGAATTTAGGTGTTTTCCCTTTGTGTTGGAAGAGTAGTTTCCTTATTCCTATCCACAAAAGTAGAAGTAGACAACTCGTTGGGAACTACAGGGGCATAGCCAAGTTGGGTGTCTTGTCTAAGCTGTTCGAGCGAATTGTGACTCAGTATTTGGCTTTTGCCATTAATTCGTATATTTCTCCACACCAGCATGGCTTTCGCAAAGGGCGATCTACGGTCACCAACTTGTTAGAGTTTACTTGTCATGTTTTCATGGCTTTTTCTTCTGGCTTTCGCACTGATGTAATATACACTGATTTAAACAAACCATTTGATTTGGTTAACCATAATTTACTTATCTCTAAACTCCAAGGCTCTGGCTTCCGTTTCTATTTAGTAAAATAGATCAGCTCTTATCTGCACAATAGATCCTTCAGGGTTTTGTTTAACTTCATCACCTCGGACTTAGGTCCCGTTTTATTTAGTTTTATGATCTCCCGTCGGTGATTAATTCCAGTCAGATCTTAATGTATGCTGATGATGTGAAACTGTTTTCCTCCTTCTCTGTAGAATTGCAATCACATCAGCTTCAAAGTTACTTGAATAATTTGGTTGTATGGTGATCTTTGAATTTTCTGAAACTAAATCTGAGTAAATGTAAGAAGCTTTCTTTCTCAAGAAGAAAGCCATTCATTATTCAGAATTTCATTGATTCGCATAAGTTGGAGGACGTCGATGCGTTCATAGATTTAGGCGTTCTATTTGACCATAGATTACGTTTTAACTTGCATATTGAGCTCTCCTTAAGCAAAGATCCGCGCTTGGTTTTATAAAGAGGTGGTGCAAAGAGCTTGATGATCCTTACATTACGAAAAGTCTGTACGCGTGTTTGGTTAGACCTATACTCGAGTATGCCTCTATTGTGTGGTCTCCTTTATATAGGTGCTAGGCAGATTCAATTGAATCTGCTAAAAAGGAATTCTCGCTGTTTGCCCTCAGCAATTTTGGTTGGGATTTGATTGCGTTTCTTCCTCCTTATGAAAATAGGTTGCTTCTGTTGCCCTCACCGTCTCTCGAGAAACGTAGATTTGTTCTTGGTGTTTCCTTCGTAATCAAAGTAATAAATGGTGCTATTGATTCGCCTGCATTACTTGGTGAAATAAGCTTTAATGTCTCTATCCGCTTCTCTAGGCACTTTATCTTGATTAAGCTGTAAATACAATTATGAGCTGTTTAACCCGCTCAGAGCTGTTTGCAAGAACCTAATTGACGTCTATCACTTATTCTCATTATCGGACTCTTTAAAGTCTATTAAAGCAACAT